AGTGAGACATGTTATAGTGAACATTTATTAATTCTAACAATCCTTAAATGTCTCTTGACTTGTTTGAAAATGAGATTACATGTATAATTTGCTGTCATTTCTCAGTTGAAATTATACACTGTGTGTGTGTGTGTGTGTGTGTGTGTGTGTGTGTGTGTGTGTGTGGTACATCGTGAAGCAGGAAGCCCCACTCTACCTCTGTAACTATGCTCTAAATAACACACACACACACACACACACACACACAAACAGTATCAAATTATATCAACTTTTCACTAAAATCTTTAATAGACGAACAATGTTGACTCGACATTTGGTAGGCTATATTAGGCTACCGTTAGATATACTGTATAGCGGATATATTAATTCACTATAACATACAGTTTATTAGAGTAAGCCGTCCCTATATGGTAACCAAGGTCTGTACATTGATACAAATACATTTCCCATACTTAAGTTACACGCATCTACATGTCTTATCTTCTTTACAAAGACACGCGAGAGATGTTCCTGATGAAACTTACTATGGCTTCCTTTAGTTCAGAGAGGTGTGAGGATTTCCTTTGTAAACTGTACCTTTCACTGCTCCCCACAGACAGTAATTAGGGGCGACCGTGGTGGCCAAATGTCCTTTGAAATTATTGTCACGAACACATCGCGCAGTAGCTTAATGGAGACACGAGCTGTGCGAGCAGTAGCACTGTCCTGTTGGAAGGAGCCGCTGGCAATTTCGTCCCTCACTTAAATGTCCATTGAAGGGGTAAAGAATCAGTTCACAATAACGTTCAGAGTTGATTGTGTCACTAAAGACTATAATGTAACTATCGTCTACGGTAGGTGCACACTTACCTTTGGCTCACCCTGTATCTAATGATTTAATCTTTCATATTGTTGACCTACTTAAGCGAGCAGGCAGGTGGTGGTGGTGCACTTTTATCTCTGATTATTGGTAGGGTTAATGTTCCCTGATAACATGGCGATATAGTGGTTATCACATTAGTGGGGTTGACACTACTTACAGCAGGTATGTTGCCAGAGGTTAGGTTAGGTTAGGTTAGGTTAGGGTGTTTAATTATCTCGTGAAATAAGCTGGGGCGTTTAGTCTTCAAGTGATTCGAATAAATGATTCTAGGATGAATGAATCAATGGAGACTGAATCACAGCCTTCCAGTTTAATAATGTTAAGTAGCGACCAGTTGTCATGCGATACCCTCCCCGCATACTGTAGTGCCTGTGTGAGGTGGGTCCTCTCCTCCACCATACTCGTCAACTAATTTTAGGGGTAACTAGAACAATGTAAGCACCTCTCAGCATATTGAAGAGTCCACGATCGTTATCAGAATATGCGGGAGTGTCGCACGACGATTGTTCCTGACTGTACAGTACGTCGATTGAGCAGAGGTAGTGACTGTATTCCCCTACACTATGACAGTATTCCACGGCCCACTCCCATCATGACTCACGTATCATCATCATCATCATTATTTTCATCTTCCTCTTCCTCGTTATCTTTATCGTCATCATTTTCTGCATTGGCATCATTATCATCCTACATCAGTCGACTAATTGGCGTTTCCCCCACCTATAAAGTACAGTACAGTACAGTACAGTACAGTACAGTACTATTATACTTTGCCTTTATATACTGTACATACATACAAATATTTCCTAGTCTTTTATGTACAGACTCAGTATTCTTTTACCAGACTTGAGCATTTAGTTGTCTTATGAACGGCGTGAATATATCTTATGTCCTTGTGAACAGACTAATATATCTATGTACGATGATTATTGTTATGTATGTTTACTGATTAACTAGTTTGTGATGTCTTTATTCACACACTAAGAGTATCACAGTCTTGAGTAGAGAGAGAGAGAGAGAGAGAGAGAGAGTAATCTTATTGGTCGTCAGTGATATTAAAGGGAAAATTAATCAAGGGTTCGACAGAAAGTCATTCTGAAAATTGGATGATTATTGTTGACTGATGGGGAAGGAGGTGAGGGAGGATGGCTCTTCTACTCCTCCTCCTCCTACTATTACTACTACTTTTTTTTTTAACGTGGCCTCCATCCTCCCCTAATAGCCACACCTTCGCCGCCATTTAATTACCTTAAAATTAAATATAACCTAATACATAAGTAGCTATCCTATCTGTGTTGAGTTAGTCGAGCCGCAGATCTATGCGGCATTCAGTGACTGTTGCCTCGTCGATATCTGCAACTGTTGTCGGCTTTGGGGCCGATGCTCTCGTTCCTGAGGCAGCAAAGCCGACCTAAGGAGATAGAAGGACAGTCGACATCTCATCCAGGCTGTAACATAACTTCTGGGCTGCTGCTTCTGTTCAGAGATCACCTCCGCGAGTCTGGCGTAGAAGCATCTTGCACTTGGTCCCATCCACCAGAGGTTGTGAACACTAGAGGAGTGAAGCTGCCTTGATCAACGTTCTACATTCTCTCCCCGTATTCCCTTATCTTGTCGTTCTCGGTCCTCCTGTGTGCAGCATCGAGAGCTAAGTTACGGTGACATGCAGCCATGGGATAAAAAATCCTGATGTCGAAGAAGGCTCGCTGTCCCCGCGTCCAGAATCCTCGAGCACTGACGTCAACACGTGCTTCGTTGGATGTGTTTGAAGTCCTATGTTGGAAATTCTCACCGTCAATGGAAGGAGGGTCGGTTCTACCTAACATCGGCAGATTTCCTTCAACATATTTGCTGTGAGATCCCTTACTTCGTCATGCCTCATGCATACGAAGCCCCCCTTCTTGCACACCATGGCGTGATCGACGTCATAGGAAGAGCCACACACGCATTGGGAGGGCAAACCTTCTACTGGCCGACCGTACCTTAGAGCATTGGCATCTGTAAATTCTTGTTTATTAAGACTACTACTACTACTAATACTACTAATACTACTACTACTACTAATACTATTTTTATTATTAAATCCTAGTACAGCTACTATCTTTTTTTCCATAAAATTCAGACAGTCACATCACCAAAACGCCTAAACGTACAGTAGTGACAAATTGTTTCCTGTTTATTGAGTAGTTATTTAGGACATAGGAATAAGTTGGTGACCCTCTAACGAAATTTTAAGGTCATTTGTGTGTATTTAAGGTCATACGTCTTCAAATATAGACGTTTAACAACAGGTTGGGGCACTATGATCTCGGTGCCTTGTGTGGATACCTGTACTTGTGTCTAAACTTGTAGCTGAGTTTGTGTGTGGCTTGCACCCTTACTTGTTGTCTCTGAATTTATATAAGCTTGTTATTATCTCCAGCTTGGCGTTGTTGTTGTCGCTGTTGGGCTCGGTGTTTTTGTCGTTGTCGAAATCGTCGTCATTAGCGGCTTCATTCTCATTGTTATCGTTATTATCCTCATTATCATCGTTATCCTCATTATCATCGTTATTATCCTCATTATCATCGTTATTATCCTCATTATCATCGTTATTATCCTCATTATCATCGTTATCATCCTCATTATCATCGTTACTATCCTCATTATCATCGTTAGTATCCTCATTATCATCGTTATCATCCTCATTATCATCTTTATCATAATTATTATCTTTAAGGTGGGAGAAAAAAACAAAATATTACTTCGCTTTATATTTTATTATCAGTTTTATACCAGGTAGAGGGAGATATGCGATATCTTTTACAAAACACACGGTAAAGAAAATTCAAAATATCAAATCAAATCACACGTTCATCACACATATATTTAGCCGAGTGAAACATCTAAAATATTTGTTTCACCAGTCTGATATATATTTTTTTTTTTACGTATATTAAAATTTACTTTCCACCTTTCGACAACATTTAATGGTTTTGTATTTTTCTACGGGATGTACAATACATTTATCCAAGGTTCTAAAGGTTTGGTATACAGGAGTGACACTACAGTATACTAGAGTGTCAAGATGATGATATGAGTACAGTGAATTGATATCAGTGTAGCCTGCTGACGTCACTACCAGATCGTGAGAAGATATTATTATTAGTGAGAGATGTCACTGTACGAGAATGACATTAAAAAGTGTATTAAATTAGCAATAGTGGTGATGTCATTATAAAGGAGTGACATCGCCTAAATGTCTTTCACTCCGCCAAGAGGAGTTGACATCAGGAGACATCACCACAGAGATAATGACGTTGAATAAGTTTTACATCGCCACAGACAAATAATGTTCAGAAAGTTGACATCATCATATAGATATTGAGATGATAAGTAACATGACATCACCACACAGAGATGACATTTAAAAGAGACGACATCACCACACAAGATCTCGCAGCCAGAATGTAAACAAATCAGAAGCAAATATCCTAATTGCTTGAAAAACACTGAAACTAAACACTCACTCACAGATAACATCAATAACACATTTCAGATCTGTATGTTACATGTTTTTGTGTCAACAGTTGTCAACACTACGAGTAAAAAAACACTTGAGTCCTGTGTGTGTTGTGTTCATGAGGTGGTTGGTCCTCCGTTCATATAGTCCTACCCCCTCTATAGTTTAGGTGTCCCGTTCCCACCGTTCCTGAATGTTTTCCTGATATAGAGAAGGGTGATGAACTGAGGAACAAGCCTTTCTGAGCATAAATAGAATTATTTTTCTCTTGTAGATTTGTGTGTCGTACAAGACATAGGTCAGAGGAGGCTGTGATTCTAGACTAACAGATGACAGACACAACGCCCTTTTAAAAAACAACAACCCTCTGAAGCACTACTACATAAAGGAACAGCACCATTAATCTGTTCATATTGGCGTGCCTGGGTAAACAAGAGCCATTATTTAACCAATGCTGTGGGAAAGGTAATGTCTGTAGTAATAAATGACCACTTGTGTTTTTGTGTTATGTTTTGGTGGTGGATAATTGCTGCCTGCTTGAACATTCCTGTGTGATGGATAGTTGTGGCTTAGCTATGTATAGGCTTTTTATAACTATGCGGCTTTATATAGCTTTATGCGGCTTTTTATAGCTTTATGTGGCTTTGTTTAGTTTTATATAGCTGTATGTGGCTATATATATATAGCTTTATGCGGCTTTATATAGCTTTATGTGGCTTTACATAGCTTTATGCGGATTTGTATAGCTTCATGTGACTTTATATAGCTCTGTTTGGCTTTGTATAACTTTGTGTAGCTTTATGTAGCTTCATGTGGCTTCATATAGCTTTATGTGGCTTTGTATAACTTCATGTGACTTTATATAGCTTTGTCATTTTATAGCTTCATGTGGCTTTGGAAAACTTTTTGTAACTTCTTATACCTATTGAATTTTTTTTTTTAGCTCTGAGTAGCTTCACGCACTTTATAGTAACTTTGCCTAGCAGTGTACAAATTTTCCCTGGCTTACCGTAGCTTTATATAACTGACTGATTGACTGATCTAGTTGACTTTCGTGACTTTTTCTCCTAGCCAAAGTAAATTAATATTTTACGGGCGTCGAATGGCAAATAGACAGCGTGGAGATGTGGTCAGCCGTCAGTCGAGTGTGCACCTCAAAGTCCCTGCGATCGATCCTGGAAATTGGAGAGGACTCAACACGACATCAGGACTCTCTCTCTCTCTCTCTCTCTCTCTCTCTCTCTCTCTCTCTCTCTCTCTCTCTCTCAATTAGCTCGGTTCCTCTGATTTATATATGTTGGCTTCCATGGTCCGTGGTTCTAGCCCTTCTGGTCCGTGGTTGAATGCTTATTTGGTCCGTTATTGAAGGCTTCCATGGACCGTGATTGTAATTTGTAACCCTTCTGGTCCGTGGTTTAATGTTTATTTGGTCTGTTATTAAAGGCTTCCATGGTCCGTGGTTGAATGCTTATATGGTCCGTTATTAAAGGCGTCCGTGGTCCGTGGTTGAAGCCTCTTCTTATCTATGGCGAATGAGGACGCAAATTTGATATTGATTGATTGGTTGTCGTGTCTGCCGAAATCTCTCTGAGGGCTGGTGTGTGATGGTGATTGGTTGGGATGGTGGTGATGGTGATTGGCTGGGATGGTGGTGGGTGATGGTGATTGGCTGGGATGGTGGTGATGGTGATTGGCTGGGATTGTGGTGGGTGATGGCGATATGCTGGAGTGGTTGAAGGTGGTGATTGGCTGGGATGGTGGTGGTGGGTGATGGTGATTGGCTGGGGTATTAGTGATGGAATATGGTGATTGGCTGGGGTGTTGGTGGTGAATGGTGGTGATTGACTGAAGTGTTGGTGATGATGGAAGATGGTGAATGACTGTGGTGGTGGGGATAGAGGATGATAGCAAGGTGGTAACGATGGAAATGGTAGTGACATTTCATGGTCTCTCGTCGTGAGGTGATTTAATCTTATCTCGTAATAATGTTATATCGTCATGCTTAGTGATATCATGTTTTCAGATTTTGTTGTTGTATTCATGATGTACCAAACTCATGTCATGATGTGATGTCAGGCCGTAATATCATGCCACGATACGCAGAAGGTCAGGTCAAGGTAAGTCATGGCCCGTCGTGTTAATGAAGAGGTAATACGGTATATTTTCCCCCTTTAATTGTGGAGGTTATATCGCATTATATTGTCTCATTTAGGTTGGAACACACAGATAGATACTCAAAGATTCTTACCATGAATTTACTCGTAACTGGGAGATATGAGAATGCATCAAGCTGACTCATTTAAGCTACATCACATTTCCTGGATTCTCAAATGTTCTCGCGACAAAATCATCACTACTGTAAATTGCGAGACATTTGTATTTTATAAGTTTTGAAGTACTAGTTACGTGTTATGAAGGCGTGATCATAATTATTGTCTCTTAGCAATGTTAGTTGGCATTATTTGTGTTTCTACGAGAATTGTTTGTTTTAGGTGAATCAAAGCTGAGTAAATCATGTTTATTTACAGGATATAGGTCGTGTGTGTTGACGGTGTGAATGACTGCACTTGTATTAATGTTAACATCATGTGTATACCAACAGTTACAACAATAAAAAATATGCTTGCGTGATTATATGAAAGTACACAAGGCCATTATATTAATACCCATACGCTTCAGTATGACCACATATTAGCGCGTAGTTTAGGCATATAATACAGTTACTCATCATACATCTACTTGTCCACATTGAAGGGTTATTGGTATATACATGTATAACACCTCACTAACGTTGTTTAGGACCTTGAGTATAACAGGTCTTGAGGTTGACCACTCAGCCGGAATCGTCAAAAACGAAACAGTTGATCAGAGTCGGGATGAAGGAGAAGACATCTATGGCGTACAGGGGGCGCCACAGACGGTCGAAGGGTGTCAGCGTCTCCCTTGGCCTCTCGTACCCCTGAGCTTGTTGGTCTCTGGCAGGTTTAGGATTGACCCTGGTGTTGGACCCCCGGGACCCTGGACGACTGGAGGTGGTGTCCTTCCGTTTGTTGGTGATATCGGAACAGGACCCACGGCGTGATGGTGATGTGATGCGGGGGTTTCGCTCACACCAGGAGGAGGGGCGTGGTGAGGAGGTAGCCTCTGGGTGCTGTTCTAACCCAGAGGGACAGCCTGATGGGGAAGTAACGTGTGGCTGTTTTTCAGACCAAGAGGAACGGCGTGATGGGGATGTGACCTTGGGATGCTGTTCTAACACCGAGGGGCGGCGTGATGGGGATGTCACGTTTTGTTTCTCCGACCAGGAAGAACGGCGTGATGGAGAGTTGATGTGTGGGTGTTTTTCAGACCAGGAGGAACGGCGTGATGGAGATGTAACCTGGGGATGCTGTTCTAACACCGAAGGGCGCCGTGATGGGGAGGTCACGTTATGTTTCTCCGACCAAGAGGAACGGCATGTGGGAGATGTAACCAGGGGGTAATGATCTAAGCAGGAGGAGCGGCGTGATGGAGAAGGAGCCTGAGGGTCTGACCCGGAAGACCGAGATGATGCAGAAAATGCCACCGAGGACTGGTCTGAGCCCGAGGAACGGCGTGATGGAGATGTGAACTGAGGATATTGATCAGACCCAGAGGAACGTCGTGACCCGAAGGAACGGCATGATGGAGAGATGGCCTGTGGGTAGTGATCAGACCCAGAGGAACGGCGTGATGGAGATGTGGCTTGCGGGAACTGATCTGATGCTCCAGAGGAACGACGTGATGAAAATCCGAAATAGGGATATTCTAATCCCGATGAACGCCGTGATGGAGAGGGGCTCTGTGAAGAGTGGTCCGATATAGAGGAACGGCGTGATAAGGAGGTGACCTGGAGATAGTTGTCCGAGCCAGAGGAACGGCGTGATGACGAAATACAGTAGGGATATTGGTCTAGTCCTGAGGAACGGCGTGATGGAGAAGGGCTGTGTTGATACACATCTGATGATCCCGATGAACGGCGCGACAAGGAGGTGATCGGCGGGCACAAATCTGCCATCGAGGAACGCCGGGATAAGGAAGAGGCCTGCGACTGGTCCGACAATGACGACTGACGTGAGAGTGAAGCGGTGAGGAGCTGCTGGTCTGACCCGGAGGCACGATATGGCACCGTAGAGACCTGGTACTGGTGATGGCGAGTTGGACGTCACTTGACCTGTAAACCAGTTAGAGAGGACGCCACTTCTCCGACGTCGTCATCTTTGGGCGTCTTAAGGTACTGCTCGATCACGGAGCCCAGCAGTCCCGCGTCGATGGTTGACCCAGACGAATCCCACGGCAGCTTACCTTCTTTATCTTCCCCGTCCTTTTCGTTCTCTTCCACTTCGTCTTCCTCTTCGGGAGTCTCCAGTGCCGAGCAGTTCTGAGATAGTAGAGGCAACGCAACGTAATCACAGTCAGTTCTGCGGATTGTAATGGGGACTTTAGGTCCGTCGCCGTCAGGCTTTGCGCCGCTCGTTGGATTCTGTTGATTATCCCAACACACAGCGATGCTCTGAGAGCGACCTCTGGCGCGTGGGTTGGGGAGACTAGGAGGTTCTGGAGGAACATCTTCAGGCAGTGGCCTTCCTGGGGGCGTGAGGCGGTGTGTTGTTCCGAGTAGTGATACCAAATCATTGTTAGTTACCACGATGCCCGCGCGATCTGACACCGTGCTGAAAGAGTGACGTTTGGGAGCTTCCACTGGTGATGAGGGAGTAGCGGTGCCGTGGTAAGACCATTTGCGGGTGCGTCTAGCGGCAGCAACAGCGTTCTCTTCATCCTCTTCCCACTGAGTCATCTCCATCACCTGCTCTACCGGCGATGATCGGATCTTGAGCTTCACCTTACGTCCCCCTGGAACACCGACGACGCCCCCGACAGGGCTCTCGAGTTCCCCGCCGTCCTCCACTCCTTCTCCGAGATTAAGACTGAAAGCCTTTTTCAGACAGCGTTTGACTTTAGATCCGGAATTGCGACGTATTGGTTGTCCTTCTATGAACTCCACCACTCCCGTGGGAGACACAAGGGAGCCTCGGGACTCCCGTGAAGATCCTCGTGAGAAGGAACCTCTTTTATTGAGAGACGGAGGTGGCGCCCAGCGTTGCGTGGGAGATCTCAGAGGTGGTGACTTGTTTGTTGGGGAGCGATTGGGAGACTGAATAGTTGGGGAGCGACTACATGGTGAGCGAGCTGTAGGACTTTTACTGCCAGGACTCCTGCAGGTTGTAGGACTCCGAGAAGCTGGACTTTTGTTTGCAGGGCTGCGTAGGGCGGGACTCCTTGCTGTAGGGCTGCGACACGTAGGACTCCTGCTTCCAGGACTCTTGAGTGTCGGGCTCTTACTGCGGCCTCGAGTAAAGGACAGGATCTTGGCTCTTAGGTTTGTCCAGGATGGCATGTTTGTCTCCTCCTCGGGCGTGAGCAGGGCGTCACCAGCCTGAGCCTCGCAGTCTACAGACGGCGGGGGTGGATTCTGATCCAGCAAAGAGTAGGACGATCGACGCATCTGTGGGGAGACGAAAAATAGAGGAGAATTACAATCTTGTTACATCTTATGAGTTATGGAGGACAAAGGTTACGTAAATTATAGCCAAATAAACACATGATCAACACACACTGTCCTGTATATCCTAATTGAAGGGAAACATGCACAGGGAAAACCCAGCCGCCGTGCAAATTATGTACACCGCGTAATTATTATGTGAGTTGAAAACAACAGCAGTCGTCCTCACACACTCGAAGGCATACTATACTGTGTCTTCCCTGGCCATGAGCTCCAGGTGTTTAGCCGTGAATTAATTGTGTGTTACTTGATGTGCTTTGGTCGTAGCTGGTGGATGTGTCATCGAGAATCTTGATGACTTTATGCTAAGTCATTCTATTAATAAAGAGATGTGTGCTGAAATGTAGACGTTAGTAGTGTCTGTCTGTCTGTCTGTCTGTCTAGGTTAAAATTGTCTCTCCACTACATTGTGATTAACCTCTTAATTTCTGGAACTTATTACAAACAATAATATTCTTAGAATACATTATTGTGGTCTCCCAAACGTAAATTAGCCTTCTCGTAAGATCCACCTTTAGTTGTGTTAGATCTCGTAAGATCTTCCTTCAGCTGTGTTATATCTCGTAAGATCTTCCTTCAGCTGTGTTATATCTCGTAAGATCCTCCTTCAGCTGTGTTATATCTCGTAAGATCCTCCTTCAGCTGTGTTATATCGCAAGATCCTCCTTCAGCTGTGTTATATCTCGTAAGATCTTCCTTCAGCTGTGTTATATCTCGTAAGATCTTCCTTCAGCTGTGTTATATCTCGTAAGATCCTCCTTCAGCTGTGTTATATCTCGTAAGATCTTCCTTCAGCTGTGTTATATCTCGTAAGATCTTCCTTCAGCTGTGTTATATCTCGTAAGATCTTCCTTCAACTGTGTTATATCTCGTAAGATCCTCCTTCAGCTGTGTTATTTCTCGTAAGATCTTCCTTCAGCTGTGTTATATCTCGTAAGATCTTCCTTCAGCTGTATTATATCTCGTAAGATCTTCCTTCAGCTGTGTTATATCTCGTAAGATCTTCCTTCAGCTGTGTTATATCTCGTAAGATCTTCCTTCAGCTGTGTTATAATCTCGTAAGAGTGGCAGAGGACCCTAGTTAACAGCCAACAACTTGAGGTAGATGTTCCATAATGCTGAAGAGGACTTGGCAAGATTGGTCCACAAGTCATGTTGATACAAGCCAGTGCGATGTCGCCCTTTCAATTACATTCAAGTTTCTCCACGGCGAAGTTTCGTGGTGTGTTAGTCAGCTCCATTAACGCACTCACTCACTCACTCACTGATGGATTGAGTCACAGAGCCCGCAAAGATTTATGCTATTTATTGTTGTTTTTCTTATTATTTGTAAAGATTTAAAGCGATGTTATCAAGAGCAGACATAATATGCATGATGAAGCACTGGTAATGACGTAATATCTTAGTTAATGAGGTAAACATATATTTAAAGGTTGTAGTAATGAGGCAGAAGGATTAATGAGGTAAATGATATTGACGGGTAAAAGATAATGATGTAAAAATTATCTCTTAAAAGATAATTGGGAAGTTTATTAAACTCAATCGCAAAATGAATATGAAAGATCATCATAAATAATAACAATAATGATAATAATAATAATAATATTAATAATAATAATAATGGTAAGAATAATAATGAAAATAATGTTAATATTTCACAGTGAGGTAATGCTATTATCATTATTATGATTATTATTATTATTATTATTAATATTATTATTATTATTATTATTATTATTATTATTATTATTATTATTATCATTATTATTATTATTATTATTATTATTATTATTATTATTATTATTATTATTATTATTGATAGTTATTATTGTTATAAACATTAGTATTTTTCTCCTCCAGGGGATTAGGAGGTTAATAATTTGGGAGGTTGTAGTTCTTTTAGTGTAGAGGTCAGTGACGCCAAGTGTGTGTGTCAAATAATAAATAAATAATAATAATAATAATAATAATAATAAACGGTTTATTAATAGAGTTGCAGCCGGTGGCTGAAAATATACAAACTTACATTTGATTTAGACATAATGATATGCGTTGAATACATTTACAGGGCTGTACAGTACATAAATCAGGAGTTGTTTATTATTTTAACAATAGATGGGATGGTGCTATTTTTATATCTATCGGTGCGGGCTCTTATGGGCTGAATTTTGTTGTAGTGGGGGACTGCGCTAGGTGGGTGGGGGGCTGCCGGTGGCAGGAGGTGGCGATGACGGGGGTGGTGCAGTAGTCCATTGCCAAACCTTGTTAGTGCCTGGTGGTGGAGGTCACTGAGGGATGGCATTTCCAGGGTGGAGAGAGCGTTGGTGTAGCCGGAGTAGTCTGCGCCGAGCACGATTCTGCAGGCCCTTTTCTGTACCTTCTCTAGCTGACGTTGTTGGGTGGCTGGTGACGCATACGTTAGTTTAGGGAGAATAAAGGCGTTGTAGATAGTCCTCAGCTCTGGCGTGGGTGTCCCAAGTGACCTGAGTCGTCGTAGCACGTAGCATGTGTGTGTGTGTGTAAAACCCTTCGTAAATGGTACTTGTATACATCAATGACTGGCTTTGTGCCTGTTCAACTTCAGCTCTAGCCGCACCATTACATACTTACGACATTTCTATTCTTCGCCGTGATATCATAATTAACTTACAGCAATAATTGAATTATTTTTTGTAATGTTCGTTCTCATAGTCTTTGATGTTGTGTTGTTCGGTGACGTTTTAATATTTCTCTATGCCAATATGGATGAAAAATTACATTGGTCACTAATTCTGTCGGACGTGGCCTTTCATGGGAATTATTCAGTAATTAGTTAAACTTGATGCCAATAAATTTGCCATGGCTGAATGTACGTGACTGTCTGTATGTTATTGTGACAGCGATATTTTATTGTCATTAACCGGTGTGAGTATAACATTATTATTATTATTATTATTATTATTATTATTATTATTATTATTATTATTACTATTATTATCTTCAATATATTTTTAGTATTACCTTCTCATTCATGTCATTATTATTAACTAAATAAATCAATAAAAGTGACGTCCCCGTAGTGAAGGGTTAACGCACTAATGATTAGCGATATCCTCCCCTCCCACCCCCCGGCGATATTTCAGGTATTGGTTGACTTTAAAACTGAACCGTATTACCATCTTAGAGCTTAATAACTTATTGGTAACAACTTAACATACCAGTAACAAACATTTAAACCCGGGGAGCATTTTAACACGAAGCTTGAATAATATCATACCCTATCATATTAACGATTGATATTATACCCTTAGCATACTAGTACGAAGCTTTATTATCACACCCTATCATACTCGGAGCAGACGATGGATAATAATCATACAGGCATCATTATAGCGTGAAGGAGGCGGAGGTCCACTAATTGTGTTAAATAGTCTCCATCATTATGAACAGGGGAGCAGCGGCATGACCTTCCCTCCTATCGGTGACTTGTTAATTCCAGTTCCCTCCCTCGGCGCGGTCACTAACAGGCACTGGCTACACCCCCCCCTCTCCTCCCCCCCCCTCAGGTCATTCATATACATTAATGCATTTACTCCATTTCCCCCGGCTGTTATTTATTTATGGCAACTCCATTTCCCTCGACGGTCACTTGTATGTATTAATTTCATTTCCCCCGACGGTCACTTGTATGTATTAATTTCATTTCCCCCGACGGTCACTTGCATATATATATATATAAACTTCATTCCCCCCGGCTGTTATTTATCTATATCAACTCCATTTCCCCCGACTATCAGTAACTGGTATCACCCGCCTACGTCCCTTCTGCATGTTACTGGAATGCTATTAAACCCCAAGGATTACCCGATTCCATTTCCCCCGTCGTTTGCTAATTTATCCAGTTCAAACAAGAGTATAAGACATTTGCTCTGCACTGACGCCACTTTCCCCGGGGCCTAGAATAGAGGAGGGGGTGGAAGGTTGTGTAAGCAAGACAGTACAACTCATTAAACTTTGGGGACTAGTTGATTTTAGCCCCGTCCCTCGGCGGTCGATAGATAGATGGATAGATATTCAATGAAATCACCGTAAAAGTTTATAATGATTCAGCGAGTATATAGTTAATACAGTTCGATCAATGATAGCCAACAAAAATCCACTGAACAAGCGATGATTGCGATCCAGCAAGGTTCAGTAATACATGGAGGATGTTGCTCTCCCTGAAGGCAATGACATGTCAAGAACGACGAGTTGATTCCAGTTCGCAGAGGAGTAATGCATTGACTGAGAACTTTGCTTTATTCCATCGAGTGTGTGTGTGTGTGCATTATTGTGATTTAACTCCACTTTCCCCGGGGATTACGTGACTCCACTTCCCCCAGCGGTTCTTGAATTATTTAGGTCCTGTGAATCGAAAAGATTTTAGTACACATTGACTCCTCTTCCCCCTTGAGAGGTAAACAAACTGCTCAGAATGCCTGGCCTCCATATTTCCTGCGGGTGAACTAATTATTCATTATGAGTTTCCTCCAGGACCCGCAAAAGTTACTGAGTTAATGGTAAGGTAAATTTAATTCCATTTCTCCCAGTGAGTTGAAATGGCGTCCTTGGAGATAATTCAAAATTATGTTTTGATACAATTTCACACCACAATTAAAATAGAACGAAAATCATATAATCTTGATATAACAATGTACTCGCAGACTAAGCTGCTGATCGATACATTCAATCTGTGGAAAGTTAATGAGAGGAAACGTAATTTGTTGCAGACGAATCGACGGACGGACAGCGTCACTGTTGGATCCCATAAATTGTCGGTCACAAAAAAAGATCTGAATGCTCAAATATTCTTCTGTAACAATTTTCTACTCCAGTTGGTGTTGTTATAACACGCTTTACTTGGACACTTTCCCTTCTACCATTATGTTACAAGCATGAAATATGATATGAAATGTGACATCCAA